GCTTTTGTTTTGAAAAAGTTATTCACATTTATATCACGTAAATAAAATTCCAAAAAGTTTTGTTACACACTGTATATTATATTAGATAATATATTAATATAAAGATATAATAAATCAAATATAAAATAATTATTGAAATATAAATTCAAAAAACTCTCTCCTAATTATATTTACTTTATTAAAAAATTTTCTTTTATAATAATTTTTGTTAAGAAAAAATGCTTTATACTCTTTATTGCAAATGAGCCTCAACTCAGAAACTCAAGAATCTTTAAGACAACTGGTACAGTGGAATAGAACTTCTGGTCAAAGTTTACTCAAGTTTGAAAGTCTTGTTTATCTTTCAGTTGTATGAGGAAAGGCCCATGATAGTTTTCTTTTCTTTTGTTTTCTTGTACTCCTCTTTATTCTTATTCTATTATAAAAATCATATATATTATTATCATCATACTCATTAAGTCAAATACTTTCCAAAAAATATACTCAAATAGAGTTATTGGATCTACTGTTTGTTTTAATACAACCTTTATACACAACTTTATTATGGCAACACTTACTGTACTATTTCAAAATTTTAAAACTTTTTGTTCAAAAAATCAAAATCAGTTTATCCCCTTCAGATAATCATCACTCTTCAATCATCCAATCAGATTTTATCAAAATAATAAAGCAAAAACTGAATCAATTTAAACTGATTTTTCAATTTAACAACAATAACAACAATAATCATCACAACAACAACTATTATAACAATAAATAATATCAATTATACTCTACTATTCATGTTAACAAGAGGTATATTTTTAAGCCCAGAGCTAGTGCAAAGGTTAGACTATTGGTTCCCTTTTAAATATTCTTTTTGTTTATATAGATTTTATAGTTTAATGGACATAGTTTTAATACAAGTAGCCCATATAATTGTAGCTTCAGTAATATATATATTTTTTTACTTTTATTTTTACTTTTTATTTTATTCTTATATTTTATTAAATTTTTTGAATAAGTAAGCATAGCCACTACTTTCAACTATATTTAGTATATAGTATTGTTTTAAAATTTCTTTTTCAATATTAGCTAGATATAGATAGTATAGGCAAGTTAATATTAAACTTGCTGTTATTGCATATAAGAAATATTGTTTTTTTTTTTTTTAAGGAATAAACAATCCCCATACACTATTTTTATTATAAATTTTAGACTTGCAAGTATAAGATTTATAACCTTTCTAGTGTAGTATACATCTCTCTTTACTAGAATAAGTTTAATGCAAGGCTCACAATTGCAGCCCATCCGCCTAAGCTCCTTAGTACCACTCAAGACTATAGAAAAAAGAAATTCAAAACCTATAGTATGCCTTGATTGGTGTCTAGCTACCTAGAGAATTTAATTACCTAACTACATGAAGGCGCTGCAGCTACTATATACAGGTTGGCCTCCAAGTCATAGTTAGGATTAGCATACTTGTTTTGTTTTTTAACTGTGGCTTGATGTACAATAAGTGGGGCAAGAGTTGGTTCCAAGCTATACTAACACCAAATGCACCAAAATAAAGCAGATCTTTTACCATTTGTATCTAGCATTGACCCTCTATTTGAACCCATCGCTAGGACTAAAGGCTAGAGAGCAGCAACCATCTTTAACACCAATGCAACCCTTTGGCAACATTAATATTTCATCATTTTTACCTAGTATAGATCTCCCATTTTGAAACCCATCACTAGGACTGTAGGTTGGAAGGTGGCAATTAATCTTGCTGTCAGAGTAGCTTTGAAGGGTATATCTTGGTTTTAGGATAAGGTGGAACTGGCGAGTGTGAAAGATAGATTGGACATAAAGTAGTAGTTTGTTAGGGAAGATGTTGGACATGTAGTGGAATTGGATTTTCTTAAAGGTGTTGATATCTAACCTTGTATAATGAGTCTATATTGTCAGAGAGGTAAGTGAGAAACTTTCATTGTCATCACTAGCTCATGTTGCGGGAGTAACTAGAATTCTTGGTCTTCACGTATTATCTTACTGACTTTTCCAATCACTAGCATAACACCTGCATACTAACCTAGCTTATTGTTAGCTGTATTGGCATTGATTGCCATTTCACTTTGGATATTGTGAAATGCAACTTCTTGAATACTTTCAGATAATAATAGTTGTATACCAATTTCTTAGATGTATCTAGTCTAACTATCAACAAGTAAACAATACTGGATTTGATAATGATGACCATGCCGATCTTTTGAAGGGGGTAAACCATCCGTTTTTTTTCTGTAAGGCCATGGAAGAAAGAAAAATTCTGAAGCCCACATCTTGAGAGAAAAAAATCACTTCTGAATATAGTTTTGAGAAAAGGAAACCGACTGGCCAGAGGAGTGATATTATGGAGAGTGGAGTTTATAAAAGAGAGAGAGGCCTAAAAAGAAAACCTTCAGAAAGAAGGGAAAACCTAACTTCGGCAGGGAAGGAGGTAAGCTTTATATAAAAGAGTCTATAGAAAAGAGGGGTAAGAAATAGGGAAGAGGAAATAAAAAGATATGGGAGAGAGGAAGTAAAAGAGAGGGGAAAGAGAAGAGTGAAGAAAAGAATAAACAACTCAAAAATTTCCTAAAAAGGAAATTTTCAAGCACAGAAGGGGGAGTGGAAAAGAGTTTTTTTTATATAAGAAATATTGTTTCTTTTACAATATATATATTTTAAATATATAAACAAATAATGAAATGATATTTATCTACTGAAAAAAAAAATAATTGTTGAAATATTTTTTAATAATAAAATTTAGAAATATAATAGAAAAACAATTATCGAATTTTTAAAAAATTATTTATAAAATATTTTACAAATCTTTAAAATTTTTTTCAAATTAATTAATTAGTTATATTTAACTTTATTATTTTAAGTTTTATTTTTAAAAAAAAATAAAAAAAAATAAATTGAAAATTGAAAATAATACTTTTCTGATAAATAAAAATTTATTTTGAATTATTTTTAAGTCTATTGAAATCAAACCTTTATTATTACCTATAATTGAATAAATTATTTAATTTCTACTATTTTATTGTTACTTAAAAATATTTAAGATATACTTATAGCTAGATTTATTATTTAAATAGTTTTATATTTTTATTGTTATTTAAGTTTTGTTGCTCAAATATTTTTTTAAAATAAACAATAATAAAAAAATTTTGTTATTGAATTAGAATAAGACTTTTATAATTTTTTGTAGAAAAATATCAGATATTATAAAGAGTAATTATCAAATTATTTAATTAAAAATAGATACTTTATTACCTTTTGATATTATAATCCTAATATTTATTAAATTAGCAAAGAAATGACTTTATATAAAAAACAATATTTAATAGATTATAATATCAGATATTATTTTAAATTAGTTTAATTGTAATTAAACTTGATATTTTGTAATAGTAATTTAGAAACACCAATTATTATATAATAAATTCACAAGTTTTTCTTTTTGCTTTTAAAATTTAAAATTATTTATTAATTGGAAAGAATAAAAATTGATTTATTTTCATTAATGTACTGGTTATATAACATTTTGTTTAATAAAATTCACACATTTAATGCTTGTCAAAAAAAATATTTTTTTTTAGTTAAAAGTTTTATTTTTTGCTTTAACTTGAATAAATTATTGAATTCAAATAACTTTTTTACTTTTTATTTAGATGTAAGAAAATAAAATTTATAAGATAACTTTATTTTAATCTAGTATTATGAATTATTATTTTGAAAGAATAACAATGTTTTTTTGTAATCCGTGTTTTGTTTTATTTGTTATTAATTCCTTCTCACATTCTTTTTATTTTTTTCCTGGACATTTTGCTTAATTTTTTATAGTTTTCTACACTTATACTGTATATTTTGAAAAGGACGTTTGTAAGGAAAACATTTAAGAATAAAGTCCTGATTTGGTTTAACATTATAATTTCATTTTTTCTGACCGTTAAGCTTCCGAGCGACTTAGGCCAATTGGATAAAATTGATTTGCCGAATATGATTTACTGATATCATCCCATTCTTGGATGACATTCATTCGGTTATAGTCCTGGTAAACAATGACATTAAAAAATTTACCAAAATTATTATCAACAAGAGATTTGATCAAGATTTACAACTTAACGGCCAAGTCACAATTAAGTCAGAATTTTATATTGGATAAGAATATCACGGGTGAGATTTTAAGGTTGAGAGAGGGCGGATGGATAGCTGTTTATCGTACAGGCTGGATGAGACGAATTGAATGATATCAATAATGGTTGGTTTGCATGAAAAACAAATATAGATAAGATTGTTAAAACTTCACAAATTTGTTCTGACGATGCACTCGTGGTCGAAGTCGGACCGGGTAAGTGTTTACAAGTGATCTTATTTCTGGTGGATTCATTATATCGAGAGATCTCATTATTCATTCTTTAATAAAGGTCCGGGCCTGTTGACGAGATCGATATTAGAAACGGGTGTATCAAACATGGTAATAGTGGAGAAGGACAAAAGATTTTTACCCATACTAACGGTGAGATTGCCTTCCTTTCGTTCGATCTTTAAATAGGAGTAGTCGCCACCGACATTGCATTCCTAATCAGTTTCTTAAAAAAAAAAAAAAAATTAGCAATTGTCCGAAGTATCCAAAGGTGTTTTAAAAGTTCTCCACGGTGATATACTTAATGTCGATCACTCGTTAATTCTTCAGGCGGCGAATATAACCGAGATTCCAGTTGAAGGCGCCGAGGGTGATAGATTAAACTGTCGAGTTCATTTGATAGGAAATTTACCGTTCAACATAGCAAGTCCACTATTGGTACAATGGATGAAAATGCTTTATAATCGAGAGGGAATATTCAGGTTTCCGAGTGTTTCGATGACTTTGATGTTTCAGAAAGAGGTTGGAGATGTAGGTATAAACATCGAATATTCAACAGAATTATTCCTGGTATTAATCCGATTCAAAAAATTTAAGAGAATAGTGGCTGATGTAGAGGATTCTAGGCGAGGTCGAAATTCGGTGTTGGTGCAAAGTCTGTGTGAAGCCAAGAAGGTTTACCAATTGCCTTCGAGAGTATTCGTTCCCGAACCAAAGGTACATAGATATTGTCATTAAGTATGATTGCTTTTAAGATGTATGATTTATGATTGTTCATCTTTTTTCAATAGGTTGATGCGGTTCTAATTCAACTAAAATCTCTTCCGAATCCCGTGTTGACCGGTAAGAATATTTCCATCTTTTCATTTTCGATGACAAGAGAAAAGACGTAACCTTGGTTGACTCCAATTTTTCGTAAATAGTACCAGTAAATGAATATGAAGAGGTAGTAAGGTATTTCTATGGAAAAAGACGAAAAACCATTCACTCAGCTTTAATGTAAGATTTAGAAGATAATCAAAAATTTTAATTATGCTTCGGATGTTAACTCGCATTTCATTTTCAACCCAGTAAATTGAAATCGAAAATTTCACCAGAAAAATTTGAATCACTAACAGATGGCATAGAAAAGTTAGAAATAGATTTGTCACTGAGACCTGAGAAATTAACATCGGAACAGTTTTGTAGGCTAACTAAAATTTTTATCGAAAATTCTATAAAAATATAATTATGATTTAAAAGTAATTCTAGGGAAGCTATTTTTATTTTTTCGTTCCTTCTTCCTTTATCGCGAATGCATATCAGGTTATATATCAATATTGTGTTTAGGTAATTGCTTCTTAAGAATTGCCTGAGGAAAAAAAACTAATTGTAAAGCGAACTTCACATTAGCTGATATGCTAACTCAAAATTGAATAATCCAAGTTGTCGAGAACAGACATTGAATAAGTTGGATGAATTTCCAAATAAGCGTTGGGAATTTTACGCCAACCCTTCATTTCTTCAAATCTTTAATGAAGACATTGTGAAAGAAAGAAAGAGTGAATGGATTTTTTTAAAAAAAAAAAATTTTAAAACCGTTAATTTCGTGTATCAATAGTACATTTCCATTCAATTTCTGGATTCTATTAAAATAAATATATAACCATGACTATATCAGATTGTACAATAGCATGTGTTCGGGAGCATCGTTATAGTATTATTTTTTAAATGATAAACGTGACCACCTTTACGCTTCGAATTTGATACCTTCCAGAACGGGGATAATCTCTTCCCATAGTTTGATACCCTACAAAATGTAAATTTCATCGTTCATCAGCAAAGAGGAAAGAATGGTCGCAGGACTGATAATTATGAAAACATACCTGGCGATAAAAATCAATATGACTGTCGGTGTAAGAAAGTAGATAATCCTTTAACTCAACCGTTTTGGAATTTTGGAACACTTCATATTCTTTGGTAACTTCGGACGAAAATTTATTCGAGATATCCTGACTGTTTTCGACTTCTGTTTTAAGCTATCATTCATCACGATTAAAATGAATGGGTAAATAAATATATGTGTGTATATATGATTTTTTTATAAAAAAAAAAAAGAAACCGGCAATTAGGTTTCACGTGGCATGAATACCTCGGCAATTTTAGCATCCAGTTTCTGCAATCGTTCTCTCTTTGCTTGTTCTTGGTCCACTCCCTTTATATTGTCTACCTTTTCGCGTAAAAAGGAAGATATCCCAGTAGAAGATTTTCCGGTGTTGAAAAGATTTTCCCGCTCGTTCAGAGAGTTTTGCAGGTATTCCGAAAGTTCCTCGAAATCTACCTGCTTTTGGTCCCGTAATTTTAAGACATTCTGTGGATGGTGAAATGATACGATTTCGGTCAATGTTGCACTTTACCATGCTCCTTCGTACTAATCAAGCTCACCTTAACGCAATGACAATAAGTAAGGTGGTCACGAATTTGATTTAAGTAGCCCTGTTCTTCTCGATCCGTCTGAATAAGGAAATCAAAATTACAGGCGTTGGTTTCTCAAAGGTGAAATGTCACATGCTTTTTTTATGAAAGAGTGGCAAACCATCTGTTTCCATAAATCAGAAAACTTGGAAGCTGTATCTCCAAATTGTTCCAAAGGCACAGTAATTCCCGTCTCTAGTTGACCCAGACCAGCGACGCTGGAACCAAATTCTCGATAATCGGATTCCAGGTCTGCAGTGAGATTTCGTAAACGAGTCATTGATATGTGGCGTTTTTACCAGAAAAAAAGAAAGAATTTTATCTAACCTGTCTGTCTTTTAATAATCTTTTGATATAGTCTCTCAACGGTTTGCAAATTCTCCTCGAGTTTATCGATGTTTTCTTTCATCTCGATAAATCTTTCATCCGGTTTCTTGAGTTTGGAAAACGCATTGAGCAAGGCATCCCCCAAATTCTCGAAGACTCCTTCTCCTGACTTCTTTTGACGATACAGGGATTCCGCATTCTACGCATCAAAGTAAATCCCTCGTCATACTGAGTAATGAATGATTTTTAACGACGCACTGACAACAAAGCGATGATCAATTACCCATTCTCTAGACTCCAAAAATATTCTGAAATATTCGCTCATCTGCAGGGTGGGGTGGCGAGCCAGTCTATCCAGAAACCTTTGAAGACTGAAACCCAACGACAGTTGAGAAAGTTTCCCTCAAAAATCGAGGATGAAACGAAGACGATAATACCTTGCCCGCCTCTTTTCCACAAATTCTGGACCAAATCTATCACCAGTGATATATTCTGAAAAAAAGAAAAGACGTTAAACCTCGCCATTGCATGTTTAGAGAAAATAAGCAAAGCATATATATATCTTCTCACCCATTCGGTGTTTATCAGGCAATGGGGGAACTACGCACGCGGCAAAATCGCGAGAGAGTGAATTGTGCAACCATACAAAGTCTTGGAAGCGTCGCCGGACACTGACTGTAGGTTCGGCAAACGTGGATAAAGTTGTCTGATGAAATGATAGGCATTCAAGCTCGGATCAATAAATTCACGGGTATATAAAACTCGCTCGATACATTCTTGATACGTACTTTAGTGTTTACCAGGTATGATATAAATGCGTCTTTGGTTCCATCAAGCTCTTTCAACGGTTCTGTCACAGTAATGTTCATTGAGTACGCGACTGGCGCACTGGATTGCGTCGGTGGCTGAACCGGCCTGATAGTGTTTGCGGTCGAATTCGTGAGCAGCGACTTCGGAGTCTAAGGCGCAAGGCAAATGAGAAACCTGATCTTACATTGAATTCAATGAGCAAAAACAAAAAAAAAAAAAGAAAAAAAAAGGAATTGTTACAAATTCGGTGACATACCGAAAACATGGTCTCATCTATTTTATTGAATGTTGAAACCTCATTAACATTCTCTGTTGTGATGTAGGTGGGTTCGTCTTCAGAAAGATCTTCGGGTTGCAAAGAATCCGTTGCACCTGTATCCCAAGCCACACTATTGTAAACGTCTTCGTCAAAACTCATGTTGTTGGTATATAGTCGCTATTCTATTCAAGTTACTCTAATTATTACGAAGTTGCGCTTCAAGTCAAAAACTGGAGAACACGCACAATGGGAGTTTAAGTGTGAAAATCAAACCATTCATTACATCGACATATCGTACTTATCGCGTGGTCGATGACGTATACACTTGCGTACGTATTACGCAATATTCCACTCGGCATTCGTCAGTTCCACCAATGGGAATTGATAATAATCGAGTATGTGAACAATTTGAAACACACCACATCGAGACATCGAGTGTATTAGTATGAACTTTATGATACAGTTATAGGATTACATGTTATTACTGCCAACAATGGGAATTCAAATTAGATATATGTTGTTAACCCATGCATTTCCTTTGTGAAAAATGAGGCAAGATCTAACAAGAGGGGGTATAAATGTCCTTGAAGTGTCTTTCCTCCGGCATGTCATTAGCCAGGTATTTTTCATCTTGAAGAAAATAAATGACAAGTGTGTAATAATAATAAAAAAAACAAAAAAAAACAAAGGTGTAGATTAAAGTTTGCAAGGCAATACTTTTGTATGGTCATTTCTTGGTTGAAACTCCATAAATATCAAGAAGTACGCCGAGTTTCATAAATATGAAAGAAATAATTTACTGATCAAAATACAAATCATGAATGTGAAGAAACAAAGAAAAAAAAGAATTATTATTTTTTTTTACAAACAGACCAGCTCTCCCTTTCCAATGCATCCAGTGAAATGCGTTATAAGGATAGTAATTTATTTTTTATTCAACATGGTCAGGGTCTTGCGAGCTAGGGCCACGATCTCCTCATCATCTGAATCTTCCTCTTCGTCACAGGCATCAGAGGTGATTCCATGTTCCACCAGCCTATTTATCGCAACCACGATTGATCTCGATGATGAAATATTTTCTAGTAGCTGTTGATCTACATCATTATATAAAACACGTAAAAAAGGCATCATCAGTTTATTTCGAAGATAAAAGATCAAGGTCAAAAATATTGAAATGAAATCTTTGTCAACCTTTCCCTTCAAGAAATTGAACAATCGTCCAGACGGCAATATGTTGGAATGTTTTATCCGAACTACTTAGAAATCGTTGTAAATATCCGTTCAGACCACCGCCGGGTTCATCCCAAACGCTTACGAACGGCGAATAATCTTGGACTACAGATATGTAAACGAAGATCAATTGCAAGAAATCCAATCAAACACTCACGAACAACTAGTGTAGGGATCGAACCTTTGGATGACAGATTTCCTAACGCGGCAGCGCTATTTCCTTGGACTTCCATGCTCGCGGAATTTGTCAAGGGAATTAGAACTCGACATATACCCATCTTTAACAGCCGTGGTTTCAATTCATCTAAATTTCAAAGGTGGAATGAACAAAGACGGACTCTTGCCGAATAATGCTCGAGACCAACTTACCACTCAACGCTAAAACCGCCACACAGGCAGTCATCTCGCTTTGCACGTTTGATGCAACGGTTAACACTAAATCTCGCACCTTTTCAACAGCTCCTGCGTCCACGATGGCTCTCTTGTTCCTCTCGGAGCTGGCGGCTAAGTTCCTTAGGGTGCTGATCGAGTGACATTGGATTTCCTCATTCTCTTCGTACGCCAAGAGTTGAATTAGTGGCGATAAAAATCCAGCGTCGATTATCGGAGATTCGTTAAGTGGGTGAATCGATATGTTGCGGATGCAAGCGACGGAAGACAGAATCAAGGGCAAAAATGATGATTGGAGAAGCCTGAGAAGGGGTGGAAGACCGCGAGATCGCACTATTTCGAGTTGATATTTTTCTAACAATTAAGGACCCGATGATTAGGTTCACATGGGTTGTGGATGCGACCATACTCAAACAATAAAAAATCAATGTTTCATCGTCCGTTTACCATCAGAAGCCAAATTTCTCAATGCCAAGGCTGCTTGGCATTGCACCTTAAGTGACGTCGAGTCCATCAGTCCGATCAGCGACTGTACTAGTCTTGTTTCATTTGAAGCAAGTTTTTTCCGATTCAAGGCTTTTTTTTTTTTTGAATAAGTTGAATTAGGTAAGTCGACCGAGAACTGACGGACCATATAATTAGTCATTAAATCTCGAGACTTACCATCAACGGCAATATTACTAAGGGCCGTGGTACAATAGTATTGAACATCTGTGTCCGAAGAATTTAGGAGACTAACCAATACTGGTATAGCTCCGGCATTAACAAGCTGTTGCCTATTCTCATCTATCACGAATAAGTAGATAATGCCGAAATAAATATCTTAATTAAAGAATTCGGGAGACATACTCGGACCACAAAGGATTACCCGAATGCGTCATGTTCAATAAAGCCCCGGTCGCATTCCTCTGAACGCGCATATCCTTCGAACGAGCCAAACGGGTTAATGGAACCAGTGCACCGGATTTTGCGATCCTCGATTTATTTTCATCTAAAAAGTTTGAGCCATTTAATTATCGACATTGTAACACATATTTTGGAAATAACAGGCAAGTGAATCCAAATCTACCGTGCGTCGCTAAATTAGTGATGCACCCTACGGCATTACATTGAACCTCAACGTTTGGCGATAACATTTGACGAATCAATGGCTCTAGGCCTCCCATTTGAACAATGAGGAGTTTATTTTCAGCTAAATAACAATATATATGTATATGAATATATATGATGTATATGATAGTTTTGCCTATGCTCGTGGATTGAAAAAGGAAAGAGGAGTAATTACGGTTAACGGCCAGATTTCCGAATGCGGCCGAGGCGGCTCTCTGAACTTCGACATCGTGTGATTGAAGAAGAAACATAATTGGTTCCATCGTCTCTCGGTCCACCTCCCTGACATCTTTTGGTCGATAATTTCATAATTGACGAATTAGAGATCGGAATTAAAAGGTTGAAAAGGAAAAAAAAAAAAAGTATATGAAAAATCATCGGTCGATGGAACCTTTTTCGGTGATTTCCGCAAAGGCTAACGCCGCTGACCGTTGTAAATCGACATTATCCGAGAAGGCTAATGTTGAAAGTGCACGCAATGGATCTCCTTCAAAGAAATTGGTCTCAGCACGATCTAGAATAGAAGTAATTCATAATGATGATTCTAATAAACTTGAAAATACCTCATAAATCACGATCATCAAATAACGTTATAATCTTACTTTCAAGATATGTCAATAAATCTGCAACAGCTTCCCGTTCGTTCTCTTGTAACAAAGGTTCGTACAACCCATTTCCGCCACCATCTGTGAATGTGAGGCGGCTCAGCCATTGATAAGAAATAAGTGCGAAAAATCAAACGTGTGCAGACGTACTTCCAAAAAAACAAGACAGACAAGCCCCCATTGTAGGTTATATTCTTGTTATAGATTTAACTTGTAGAGAACCTGTGGACTAGAGTGCCAAAAGAAGTGGCAACCAGAACACGGAGAAAAGCGAAAAATGCTCTAAGCTGATACAGAGAATCTCTGTAACGCGTAACAAGCGGCGCGAATCGCCGACGAAATATTTTTGAATGGTAAAGTAGCGAAAAAATCGAAAATAAGTAAAAAAAAATGCAATCTGACCTCGACTTTGAAATGTTAACGGAGAGGCAAAGAGTAAATTGCTCCAAAAACTGTGGAGACCCTAACCAAGTGCGATCGAGGATTTTCAAAAGGTGCTTTTCGATGGGAGAAATGTCTTCACGGGCAAATGAATCACAGAGATTAGGAACTCCGAGGAAAGAATTGCCTTATTTTTGGGGATATGAAGGCGCCTGGTTACGAAATATGTAGTACGAAGCAGCTGACCTTACAGTTAACGTTTTAAGCACAATACTCTACTTAAATGCATGATTACCACGTTCATTTTAACTTATCGACAAATTCATTATGGAGCATCACGTCGATCAATCGATCAGTCGAATTGTATAAAACAAGGCAAGTATGATTTCAGAATTCACCTTTTTCCTCATTTCCACGTTATCCGTTTCCTTATTTCCACGTTATCTGCTTCCTTATTTGCTTCCTCATTTCCACGTTATCCGATTCCTTTACTGTTGTAAATTCGATAATTCTTAAAAATGTTGCGCAGAAAGAAGGAACAATCCATTAAGTCCGACGTCCTCTTTTCCTCCTATCTGGCAAACATGAATATGCCCAATGGTTCCTCGAATTCCGGTGAGAAAAAACGCGAAGCCTGATAACCATGTAGAATCGAATTGCTTTTTTCCACGAAATCTGACAAAACCTCTTGCTTAGTTCATAAAGTACTGGCCAAGCCATCCCGGCCATCGCTGTACGACTTGAAGGATAATACGGATGATACCTTACCTGATAACATGGTAAGTTTATAATCGGCCTATTCGATTGTTATGAAAATTTTGATTCTTTCTTATCAATATTTTCTTTTATAGAAAGTCGATGTTCTGCTCAAGAGAATCGGTGCAGAAAGTTCGTGGCCCAATCATCAAATGAAGTCGGATATGGAAGTTCTCTTTAAGAATCGAATTTACACAGTAAAGGATCTTCGTACGTTGTCGAAAGAAAGTTGGAAGGTAACATATTATTATCATCTCGATCCGCGGTCGTTTTGTTTGATCAAAATTTTACTCATTTATTTCTTCTATTTTTTTTTAGAAAATCGACTTATTACCGATCGTCAAAGACCTGTTACGCGAAAACATCAATCACGGCCGTAATAATTTAGGTTTGCGCGTATAATGTAAATCCGTTCAAAATCTCGGGTTCACTTGTTAACAATTACCTATGATGTAGATGATGATTCCGGGAAAAAAAGAACGGAGAAATTGCGAGAGAAAATGCTATCTAAAGAAATTTTTGGATCAAAGGATATGGAAAATGTGAATACAATAGTTGCTAAGATCCAACCGACTGTTGAAAAACAAATTGACGAAGTTGTCCCGAGACATACTCAAAACGAAAAAACAAAATCACATATTCAATCAATCAGAACTTCATTTGAACTACCAAAACGTTTCATGCCCCCACCTAATAAAATAGCTATGGGTGACAGAATGAAAGTAAAAACTTCGAATGGTAAAATTTATGAAGTTGACAGGTTGTGTCCGCACGCTAAAGCCGACCTTAGTGCAAGGGTGAGTCAGAGACGCGCTGTTATCGAAACAGTTTGATGATGCTAAACTTTTATTGTTCTTTTTATTGCTGACAACCTTTAAAGGGTGTTGTCATAGGATCAAAGTTATTTTGTACAAAACACTGCCTATCGTTCGATCTAGAGAACGGTGGAATATGCACATCGGATCACAACAAATTAACTATTAATGCCTGTCTCGTTAATGATTGGTGAAATTCCAACTTTTTTTCTCGCGTTGCCCCGGTCTATAGTGGAAACCGAGTTCCTGGAGAGTTCTCAAAATTTATTCATGCCCTTAAATAATTAATAATACTTCTGCCCAAAGCGCATTTTCACCTCATAACTGATCGAAAGAGCCAAGCACAGGTGATTTATTTTTAGAAATAAACTACCCAAATAACTTTCTTATTTGACGCCAAATTTATATTTAGATTTTTCATAAACGTCATATTTTTTTCTTTTTTACTTTTCTTTCTGAAGTCTAAAATAAAAACCCTTGGCAGAATTATATAAATAGTATAGATACAATAGGTGGCACAGCGATCAGTATACAATCTGTAGATCCTTAAACTATGACTTTATATTCACGTAATTTAATAAATAATTATTTAAAGTGATATTTAAAATGAACAGTTTATATATACAGTTTAATTGAGAAATGCCAAGATCGGTCACCAGTGGAATCAAGAATTCCGACTCATATCATGATTATTGAAACAAGAAACATGTGGCTTATTATGAACGGTTGAAAATATATAAAGAAGCCGCAACATCACTATAAGTCATGAATTGAATCTTTCTGAAAAAAAAAATCCTTTTTCTGGCGTGACTCCCCAAAAACCAATATGATACATAAAGTAAAGAATTCCTTCGCCCAGGGGACTAATGATGCGCTTCTCAGAATTCTGATATGCTTGATCACCTTTTTTTCCTCATCTATTAGTGCAGATGATGATAGTACATCTCAGAAACTTTCCTCCCACGCTATAATCATAGGAATTATTCTAATAATCACTGGAATTATCTATTGCTTTTTCGGAAGAAGGATATACCATCTTACCTTATTCTTGCTGGGATTATATATTGGCAGTAAGTATCCACGTACCTATGCATCTTCTACCATCTTATCACGTATCTCTGAGCTTCATGTTATCCGATTACAGGTATCCTGGGTTGGATTATCCTTACAAACAATGAACCCGCCTCGGGTTATGCTGGAGATAACAGCGACACTGTAATTCTAATAGCTTCCCTGGCAATCGGATTTCTTGTCGGCTTAACGTTCATATGTTTGTCGACCCTGGCAATCCATTTGCTCGGTGCACTCGCCGGTTATTCGTTTGCAATGTTTATACTGTCTTGGTCGTCTAACGGAATTATCCAATCAAAAGCTGGTCAAATAGTCCTCATTGTGACATTCACCGTCATAGGTGTTATTCTCATTCACTTCTTCAGAGACGACGTCATCATTTTTGGCACTGCATTTATCGGTTCCTACGCAATTATCCTTGGAGTCGACATGTTTGCACAAACTGGATTTTCTGATTCTGTAAGAACCTTTTTGGATGGCAATCATAAAGTTATATACCATGCAACTACGAAAGTCTACCTCATGCTCGTGGGGATGATAGGTCTTTTCATCGTTGGTGGTGCATATCAGCATTTTCGCAATCGCCACGCAGAATTCCATCCAAGAAAAGAACATCGCAATATCCCCGCTCAAGAGGAAAAGAAGAAACCACAAGTTTGATTCAGAATGTAACAGTAACGCGTATGCACATCCAAATATAATTTGTCACATGATAAGGTATTGGGAACTTTACGACGGAGGAAATTGATACATATGACACGGAAAAAAGTGAAATAAAGTTTATCAATGGAAGTATTTTGTATTATTAAAAGAAATTCATTGTAAAATTAATTCGTAATTTACAATATAAATAAACATTTACATTGTACCAATTGAGTATTAACGTTAACTGTGAATTCAAATTTACGAAATTTACGTGTATCTACGTATAATCAAGTTGAATTCAGAAGGTCACACGTGATAAAAACAATTCGATTCGTTATTATTAAAAACTTGTTCTTTTAACCCGATCAAGTCTGTTGTTTAATTCTCGTAAAAAACAATTAGCCATTTTAACAAAAAAAAAACAAATATAAATCATTTCTTTATGCTTGCGCATCTGTATTAAGCAAATCTTTATAATAATCAATACTGTTGTAATTATATTATTAAATCCTAAATCCTTATCAATAAAAAATATATATTTGTTTTTTTAAGACAAGACAGTTATTACACTTTTTGTTTTTTATTCAAATTCTAACAGGAAATATTACAATTTTTACAGAACAATATTTCTTTTGTTAAAAAAAGCTTAACACAAGATTCAAATTGATTGACTCATTTATATTCTTAATATTACTTAAAAAATATAATAAATTAAATTTCAAAACCTATATTAAAGTCTTAAATAGTATCTAACTATTTAATAATAATAATTTAAATATCTAATTATATAAGAATGCTACAGTTATTTTATATAAATTGATATTTAAAATTATAATTAATATTAATACACTTGCTTTTCAAAAATAATATAATATATAATAAGTAAAGTTAATAAAAAAACAAAATTATTAAATTATTATTATCTTGTTATATAAAAAATATTACAACTATTTTATATATGTTAGTTTTCAAGTTACAAAAAAAATTTATTATATTTGTTATAATTAATTTATTAATATAAAAATTTATTTTTTTAAAAATAGATAAGTATTATAAAATACAGTTTTTTATTAATATACAATAAATATTCAGATTATATTTAAAAAACTTATATAAGTCAGTATTTATATATATTATATAAATTATTTTAAATACAATATCTTTTTCTGATATCTGATTATCTAATCTAAAAAATTTTATTTTATAATATTAAGATTAGATTAATAGTAAATAGAAATTCTATTATTAGTTTTAAATTATCTAATTTGTTTTAATTTAACTAATTAAAAAATTTTTTTTGATTAGAAAATTAGCTTAAGTACCTTTTTTACCTTATTGTTTAGACTTTAGATTACAATTTATATTAATTTTAAATTTATATAAACTATAATTCTTCTTACTATTTGTAGCTAATATAATTATTTAAGCTTTATACTAGATTGAAATAGCCTAAACTAGAGTTTCAATTATTATTAGAAGAATATTAATTGAAATTTATTAAGATAGAATATAATATAATCTATATATTTAAAGAAATGATATTTACCTACTAAATATATATATATATATATATAATCTATATATTTAAATATATAAATAAGATTTCTTACTTAATAATTATTATTATATTAATCAGATAATTGTTACATTATTATATTTTAATAAAAGGTTATAATCTTAATATTTATTAAATCATATATAAATTAATTTTTTATAAGAAATAGTATATTATAAATTATAAAATTAAATATTATTTTTAAATTAAATTAATTATTTTTATTTGAAATTAAATCAATACTTTATAATTTGATCTATAAAGTACTAACTATTATTTTATAAATTTACAGGTTTACTAATATAAAATTATTAATATACTAATAATAAACATTTATTTAAATAAAATCTTGTATTTAATATTTATTTATAATAATAAAATTTTTGTATTATATTTATTTTTTAAATATAATAAAATATTCAATAAATAAAGTTTATATAGAATTGTTTTATAAATATTAATATTTAGCCTTATATAAAAATATATATTGTTAAGAATAAATAAAAAACTTTTATTATTATTTTTGATTTTATTTATAAAAATAATTAGAATTTTTGATTATTATATAATTTGTGATAAAAAAAATTATCTAAAATTAAAATAAATAAATAATTTTTTTAAATATATTAAAATAATATTATTAAATTTCAATTAAAAAGAAATAGCAAATTAAAAAATTTAATTTTTTTATTATTTACAAAAAAATAATAATAATAAATTAATAAAACTTTAAAATAATTTTATAATTTTTTTTGGCTTAATATTAAATTATCTACTTTTTAATAAAACTTAACAAAAAAAATTTTCAATAATAAAAAAGATATTATTATTTATTAATAATTTAATAAAATTTTATAAAAATTATTAATTAAAATCAAAAAATATATATGTATATTAAAATATAAAAAATATTTATCATTAAAATATTATTTATTAAATTAATATAAAAAGTTAATAGTTTAATATTAAGCTAAAATATATATATATATTTTAAAGTTCTATTAATTTATAATTAATTAATTTATATATTGAAATAATTTAAATAATTTATTAATATTGTTTTTTTGTAAATGATAGAAAAATCAAAAAATTTAATTTGTTATTTCTTTTTAATTAAATTTTAATAATATTATTTTAATATATTTAAAAAAATTATTTATTTGTTTTTATTATTTTTTTTTTTTTTTTTTTTTTTTTTTTTTCCGTAGTCAAACAAGTACGTACTGTTTATTAAATCTA